TATTTCATTGACAACTGACTGTGAGGAGTCATCGGTTGTAAGACATGCCATTATTTTATGTACCAACAGGAAAGGAAAAAAGGCCTACTAGTTATAAGATGCCATCAATTGTAAGGTACAGCCTAATTTCAGAGATGTTAAAATAGGGGGTGAGGGGGGTGGCGAGTCTTAAAATCAATAAAATATGGCACATATATACATATAAGAGTTTTAGTTGGGTATTGGTCATAATCATACTATTGAAGTGTAAAGAAAACTATTAGTTATTTCTGTCAAACATTATACAGATTCATTAATCCTAGAGATCTAAAGTTGGAAAATATCAGGGATTATGTAGTCAGTTCTTTTACATATGAGGGAATTTACTATGAGAGCCTCTAGAACAGTGGTCCCCAACCTTTTTGGCACCAAAGACCAATGCTCCTATGAGAATCTAATGCCCGAAGATCTGAGATGGAGCTGAGGTGGTCATGCTAGCGCTGGAGAGTGGCTGCAAATACAGATGAAGCTTCACTTGCTAGCTTACTGCTCACCTCCTACTATGCGACCCAGTTCTTAACAGGCCAGAGACCGATACTGGTCTGAGACCTGGGATTAGGGACTCCTGCTCTAGAGTATATAACAGTTTGCAATTAATTACCTTGTTTATGAGTGTATATTAAACTTTACAAAAGAATTCATAGTAGCATTCCTTTAAATCGATATCTTTAGAGTTTCTCTGATAAATTTTATATATTCTTTTTCAAGATTACCTCATTTAACATATGATAGAGAATGATTTGGGATTTAGATGAGTTGCTTGGTATTCTAAACAAGGTACACACACAGCTGTGATAATCAAATATCACCTTAAATAGCATATAGAATTTTAAAAAGAATTGTTCCTGCTCTCAAAAAATTGCCACATTCTACCTTTGGGCATTTCTGCCCCCCAGATTTAAATTACAGTTGAAGGTTAACTGGAGCTCTGTATGGTAAAAAGGAAATGACCTAGTGGAACTGTCATGAGCGTCATCCAGCCAGCCAGCACTGGGGTATGTTTTGGCCAAATGCTTCTTAGTTACCAGTCTTGGTGCTAAAATTCAAACTGGTTCATCGTTGAGAGAGACCAAATTGAGTTGCTAGTGTAGACATTGCTGGGTGGCTAGATCAACTACTCAGAGCTTGGAGTTCCCTGAGGAGTTGGGTACAGGTACAGCAGAGCATCTGCCAACAGGTGATCTCATGGAGGTTTGAAGTCCAGTGGTCACTCAGCCTCTAGAGTGTGAGATCAGGTGCAGATTTGGGCATTGGGTGGAGACTTGATTATGTACAACACGAATCTTGATTATTGAGCCTCACCTGCAAAATCCTAGCAACCTGGGACCTACTTGGCCCGTGGGTAGGGCTGGAACAAGCCTGCAAATGGGATGAAATGTCAGTAGCTGTGAAGCTTGGAAAGATTACAAGGGCAGGGAGCCAGATTAATCTTTGGGTTTTTGTGTTTTGGAAGATTGTATCACAAATGTTTCCTGCTGTGAGTACAATTGTTACTAATAGTGAATGATTACCTTTGTAGAGTGTTTTCAACTTTTATCAAAGTGTTTTCACAGACATGTAATCTTGCTTTCACAGTAAACCTGAGAGGAATGAACTGGGTACAGTTACCCCATTTGGCAGATGAGGAAAATGAGGCTCACAGATATTAAGTAACTAACCTTAAGGTCTCTTGTTATTGGTTCTTGCTTTTTTTCACTATACTTACTATGCTGCCAGTACTTAACTCCATGTTTATTTCCAAATTTAGAAAGCATATAGTCTGTTTTCCAGCAGCTGCTGCTATCTTTAGGGGCTGCCAACATTTCGTCGCTTATCTTTTTTATTTCCCAAGTCACAGGCATAACTTTCGCTCAGTACTGAAGGGCAAAATAAGCAAAAACAAAACATGATTCTATCATGACTTAGGTTAAATTACTTTCCTCTGTTATGTTCTGTTAATAATTTGTGGCTACTCATTTCTTCAGTCTACCTTATTTTGTTTAAATCTCAGTTAATGACACTGCTGTAGCTGTGTAGGTGTCTTGTACTAAACCAAATACAAGTCCAGACAAGGAGTCCCAAATTAAAGCAGTTTAAACAAGAGTTGCCAGCATTGTTACTTGTTGACATAGCATTTGTTGGTGTCAACCATGAATGGCTGGGTTTTTAACTTTCATTTGTACCTAGAGAGCCCCTTCTGTTTTGGGGCAGCTTCCTCATATGCCTTTATGTTCCTTCTTGTCATAGTTCTCCATTTCTTTACAGAAAATGTCTTTCTAGAATTCTTCCTATGGTATGCCTCCCGCAGGGTATGGATATGTATGTTCATGGTTTTCATGTCTGTAGATTTTGCACATATATTTTTCTTCTAAAGATAAAGCATTATATAAAGAAGTAGAGTAATTATTGTTAGTGAACATTAGAATGAGTGGAATGGATAAAATTAGGCAAGCAGTCAGGAAATCTGCATTCTAGTCCAGACATTGCCCCATTACTTAACTGTGGACTTTTCACAAATCTTTTAATCATTTGGACACCTACTTACCTTATCTGTGGGGCAGAGTTGGATTAAATGATTTCTAGAGTCCCTTTTAGTTCCAAACCTCATTCAAGTTCCCAAACTGAACATAAAAGATTCTGGATAAAGGTAGGATATCTGGTAAAGCTTCCAGTGGTGAAGAGGATGATCTAAGCTTAAATTCTGTTGATAATTTTGTTATTATTGGGAATCGAATGAAAAGAGGTAAAGGCGATTGAATTTTCTGACAATTATAAAAGTCATCTGAAACCCACTCTTATTAGCTAATAACCTTTTAAGCTTGTTCCTAGTTTTGCTCACCATTGTATGCCCAACACTGAATACACCGCATGATCAGCATGCTGTATTTTGAGAATACTTTCATAAAACATTGATGGGCTTCTTGACCTATTTAGTTCATTAGGGCAGATTAACCATGTCTCATAACAACTTTAAAATTCAGGAGGTGGGAGTGGCTCTATAGTGTAGTGGTTAGCTCATCTGCTTTACACGCGGAAGGTCCTGGGTTTGCGCCCCAGGTGGAGCCACAGACCATACCCCAGGTGCACCAGGCCCCCTGAGTGCGCAGGGAGGGGGAGGGCGGCAGGCCCGGGGATGAATGCCTGAGCGTGTGGGAGGAGATGCCCCCCCTTCAGAGATCCAGTTCTTAAGGTGAAATGGCGGCATCCATAGGTCAGGGGTGGGAGCAGGGGGGCGGAGGGATTAAAGAGGGAAAAAAATTTCAGGAGGTGTAGGAACAGAAAACAAGCTCATGTTTTTTGAGCCCACACTCCGCTGTGCACTCGTTATTCAGATGAATGTTGTACAACAAGCAGGGTTGTGGTCATGAAGGGTGCATTAGCTTGGGAGTAGCAATTGGCTGCTGCACTGGGAACAAATAGAGTAATCCAAATGGGGGTGAAATTAAATGTTCTCATTAGTCCCTCTTTAGAAGAAAAAAAAGCAAGTGTGGAAACCTTCAGCAGGTGTTTTTTTTTTATTTTTTTCTTACTAAAGCTAGAATTTGTTAGAGTATTCACATCTATAAAAACCATATAGAGGTTTATATTCTGATTCAAAGCAGAGGGAACCTGTTTGCATTTTAATTAGGTAGCATAAGAACATTTATCATTTTAGATAGCATTATTATTGGTTTTGTGTTAGAAGTTGTGGATTCTTTAAAATTATGACAAGGGTAAATGTAGCCCTAATTTTTAGGTTGGATTTTGATCCTAAACAAGGCCCCATCTGACGTATTTTTAGGGAATTAACAACCTTTAAACACTAATTACCAGGTTTAGATTTGTCTCATTTAAATCTTATTTTTACATTTAGAATTTGTCTTATGTTTCAGTGCATCTCAGCCTACTGGTATAATCTTAGTTAAATTAAACAGTATTTTGTGATCTGGGACTCCTGTCAAAAATCATTATAGGAGCTAGAAAACACTGGGAGGTAAAATGAGTACATGACCTCATCTCTTATTTTGCACTAGACTATAACTTGCATTCAAGGAGACTGAAAAAAGAAAAAGAACATTTTTTTTTTCCATTAAGCTGTGATAAATGCGTTTAGTATGCTTTTGCTATTAATTCTTCTTAGCTGTTAGAATGGAGGATTTTGTTTGAAGTTTCTAAAACTAAATGCTGCCAGGATAAAGATTTCACTAGAAATATAGAGTAGAGACCAGTTTCTACCCTTTGTTATTTGATCCTGCTTGTTTAACCAGAGGAATAAAAAATGTACATCTACTGAAGAGAAATTTGTGGGCATAAATTCTTTTCTTCCTGTTTTCAAACGTATTTCATAGGTCGTTTATCTTATTTAAATATACAATAATACAGTAGACAGAATGCAACTGCTGTTCCTTTAATATGAGAACTGTGCACGTTACAATAGGTGTCACTGTTTTGCTTGGTCCAATCATGATTGGTGACTTCAGCTATTGGCTCTGAGCACTGGCTGTCTGACTCCATCTGCAGGGCTGTAATACCTACTCTCCTCCGATCCATTCACCACACACAACTTCAGCCGGCTGAACAGACTCGCGCGGCTCCAGCACATCTTGCTAACCTAATTCAGAAAACAAGTGCTGCGACTCTCTGCCTGTCATCTTTGCTCACTGTAGCATTTTCAGGTGATCTAGGAAACTGGGTTATTTTTACGAGCACGTCAGAGAAACAGGAATCATGATGGGGATGTATTTAACAGACCCAGTACTGGATAAAACTTAAAGCCAGTTTCTATTCAATATAGTGAAAAGGTCACCTTGCCTGACTGAGAAAAGAAGCAAAATATCAGCTTGTTCATTTCTGTTAACATCTTAGCTCGTGCTAGCGTCTTTTCTTTGATGTTTGTATCAATTTGGGAGCAATATCTAGCTCTAAAGAGAGACATACTGTACTCATGGTAGATGACAAGGAAAAGAACATGAAATGTCTCACCTTCTTCTTGATGCTTCCAGAGACAGTAAAGAACAGGTCCAAGAAAAACTCGAAGAAAACAAATACCAGCAGTAGCAGCAGCAGCAGTAGCAACAACAGCAACAGCAGCAAGTTGCCTCCAGTTTGTTATGAAATAATTACCTTGAAAACTAAAAAGAAGAAGAAGATGGCTGCTGATATATTCCCCCGCAAAAAACCAGCCAACTCCAGCAGCACCACTGTCCAGCAGTACCACCAGCAGAACCTCAGCAACAACAACCTTATTCCAGCCCCGAATTGGCAGGGTCTTTATCCTACCATCAGAGAAAGGTAAGTGCCCAGCCAGCATATTTACTTTAAAAGTTTTCCTGTGTTGAAGTTTCTGCTTTTATAAAATCCATACTGTATTTGAACATAAATCTTTGTTTCCTCTTTTCCCAGCAGCTTTATTGGTAATGGAAAACTGCCTTGTACCTTTTCCAAAACAGTACAGCTGTTTTCCTCTTAGATAAAAATGTTTTTGCAAGCTGTAACATTTAAGTGACAGGGGTGTGTCTATGGGCCATAGAAGATAGAAACCTTTTATTTGTCCTTAGTCTTATGAAAAGTTTGGATAACTTTTTTTAACTTTAATTACTTCTCATGTGTTTGTAATGATTACACACAGTTGTTTAGTTGGAACCTTTATTTGTAGTTTTACACTGAAGTTATTAAACTGTTGCTTAGCTTGAGAATCTTTTGTGGATTTTATATGTTGGTGGGGGTGCGTATTAAAAACGCTAGCTGATATGAATTAATGAATTGCCTCTGTTTATAGAAATGCGGTGATGTTCAATAATGATTTGATGGCAGATGTACATTTTGTGGTTGGGCCACCAGGTGGGACTCAGCGGTTGCCAGGACACAAAGTAAGCAACAGCTGCAATACTGTTTTAGTCCTGAGGTTTACAAAGAGGGACCCTCTCCATAAGCCTGGAACTTTGGGTGGGCAGCTTGCTGATGGCAGACAGTGCATGTTTCACCCAGTCACGAAGAAGGCGTAGCCTCTCCAAAGGGCTTTGGCCACGCTTAATTTTTTTCTTTGTTCCTTCTGCCCTGCTTTATATCCCGCACAAAAACATGCCCTCTTAACTCTCCAGTCATGGGAAGTTGTTGTGACTGGTTGGGAAAGTCATAATGTTTACTTTTCTCCTAGAAATCAAGTAGATAAGCTTTTTTGTTGATTTATTTCATAATGAGGAAACTTGAGCGTTATTCCGTTAAATCCTTTAGATAATTGGCAGCATAGAGATTGATTTGCCTGAACATCTATTTTATGCTTTCACAGCAAGATACATTGTACTCTGGCTTTGACAAAAAAGCTGGTATAGGTGCTCTGTGTCCACTAAAGCTTATTGTTTAGAGTTGTTTCTCTGGATTGTTTTGCTAAAAAATGCTTCAATTTAGAGCATGAAATAAGATTTCTCTTTCTCCACAGTATGTTTTAGCTGTTGGGAGCTCTGTGTTCCATGCAATGTTTTACGGAGAACTTGCCGAGGACAAAGATGAAATCCGTATACCAGATGTCGAACCTGCTGCTTTTCTCGCTATGCTGAAGTAAGCATCATTCGTATGTTTGGAAAGAGTTTGTTTATGCTGTATTTTTACTCTGCTGGTTTCACAGTTAAGTATAAGTTCTGTGTAACAGAAAAGGGAGACTGATGAAGAAAGAGAGTGCTGCTTACCTTCGAAATGTTTTTGGAGAAAACCGTCTTTCAGTGGAAAGCATATGGAATGATGCAGGCATTTATAATCATACCTTGACATGGGATTTTGGGGGCAAGTGGTATATATAGTGACTTGATTTTTAACAACTTAAAATTAAAGAAAAATAACTTTCTGGTGTAGGCATAGCTAATAGAGGATGTTCTTTCTGAAAGCGTGTGGGAAGGAGTCTTTAAAGACATGTTATATTTTTGCTTCACAGTTCTGGAAATTATATACCTTGTTTAAGTACCACCAGTTAGGAGATTTCTAAGTTTTCTAGGAGTTGTTTTGTTTCCTGTCAGCAAATATAAAACTTATTATCTGTTGAAATAATCTGATTTTTGTGTACCCACGCATACACATAATTAATTAGAAACCGTCACTCAAGAATAAGAAGCATTTGCATTTGATAGTAGAGGAGAAAATTTTGAGAGCTGTGAAGTTTCCTGTAACTTTATATGGATTTATACAGAAAAACTTTGGTAATATAGAAATGTAAAGCTGTAAGATACATATTTATCAAAAAATATTTTCTATCTCATGGTTCTTCCAGAATTAATACATGTTAACAAGGTAAATATAACCTATTTATTTGACATGTACTAGTGCTAGACAGTGATAGTTTACCATGTGGTTAAAATCCGATGATTATTCCAAATCATTTATGTAATTTTTGTTAAATCCTTATTCTAGCACACCGCGTCTATCAGAGTTCAGGGTTATCTGCTGCTGTAAGAATTTTGGTTCACTATAATAAATATGATGTTTGTTGGAAAAAATCATTCATTGGGCCAGTAAGTTGTACAATAATCCCACAAATGGTTAATGTGTTGCTATATATTGTTTGCTGCCTAATGAAAAATAGGTGGTATGGTTAGTTCTGTAACCAGGTCTAAGCTCGTACCACTCACTACACAACGGCCAATGAGTTGAGTGACAAGGTATTGAGGCAAGGAAAGCCAGCAAGCCGAGAAGATGGTGGACTAGTGTCTTAAAGTATGGAACCATCTTAAAGTATGGAACTCAGGCTTCTTTTATGTCAAGGGAAGAGGGAAACGGGAGGGCCAAGAGGTGATTGATGACTACAGACATCTGGGCACCAGCAGGGGTTGGAGGAAGATTGTGAAACTTTTTTATTCTTGGTTGACTCCAGTTGGTGTGAGTCCAGTCACAAGGTTCCCGTAAATCTGTAATAAACAATCGTTATTTTGTACGTGCTCTTTATCTCCTCAGATGAGGTAGTTTGTAGTAAGGGGCTGTTTTTGTAAAACTCAAGTTGCAAGCAGAATTCCTCTAATGATTAGCCTGTCCATATGCAAGACTAAGCAGAAGCTATTAACCTAAAAGTAATGGGAATAAAGCAAGCTTGAACAAGATGGAGTCAGAGAGGCTGAGCATTTCACTGTTATAATTCTAGAACTTAAAAGTATATAATTCTTTGCTTGCATTACAATTTTGAAATCTAATTGCTGCTGAATTAAACTTTCACAGTGGAAAATAGAGAAATTAAAGGCAAGTGAGCGTGTGAAGTACCAAGATGTCAACTAATCCACCACTTTTTAACCAACCAATACGTCATGACCTTTGTCATCTTTTAGAAACCAATATAATGGCAAGGCTTTTTTTTTTTTTTTTTTAACCCCAGTCAAGCCAGCTTTGTATATTTCACATTATCTATTGAGGAGGAGAATGCTAACCCTAGTTCAGCATTTTGACTTCACTGCAGTTGAGTAGAATATTGTGTCATTCCAGATATTATTTAAGAGTCACAGAGTTACATTCACCTGAGTCATTGGATTGGTCATTTGACAACCATCTTTTCTCTCAAATGTATTGCCTAGAATATATATTGGTACAGCAAATTAGACGTGTCCTCTATGTAAAGTGGTAAGAATCAAAAACGTACTAAAGTGCCATTTGCTGTCATGCTACAGTTGATCAGTACCTTGTTATAGCCAGGGATAGGCCAGTTTTTCCTCACACCTGCATTGTGTGTGAGTAGCCAGTATTCTGGAAAGGGGGTTGTCAAGAAAAAGGAAAGACTGCTCATTTGACAGTTCCAGAGTAAGAGCTAGAGTGCTGACTGTGCTTCAGAATCCTCCCCACAGTCCTGGTTCTCTGGTTAGAGCATCACTAAGCTGCAAATGTTTTGTCAAGCAGTCTTGCCCCACTAGTAGATGGCTTAGAGAAGAGAAAGGGCTTCCTGGGAGCAAAAATGCAAGTTCCATTGTGATTGTGGACACTTTCCTACTGCCATCATTGTGAGTTTTTTAAAATTTTTACTTTCTTATAGAAGCCATTACTAATTTCTTCTTATGTGTACTTCACTAAGTTGGAATTTAATAACTAAAGGAAAGTTTCACCCAAGTAGCCAAACACCTTAGCTAGAAAGATTAAAAAATTAAATGTTATCAGCATGTATTTTTCACTATATGTAGTTCTCACTGACTCTTGGTGAACCATAGAGTGAACCATAAAAGAAGCAGATGGTTGCTACATTTACATATCATTCTGAAAGACTGCCAGCGTCCCCCAAAACACCAAGAAGTGTTTTATCTCCTGACAAAGGGTTGTTTTATAGAATCGTAGAAATAATGCATATTTAGGCTTTCTTATTTTGTCATTTAATTAAATATACCTGAAAACAATATATTCTTCAATTCTGAAATGGAAAAAATGTGTGAAGGAAAAAAGAGAGTTTAGAGTTTTTTTAAAACCAGACACAAAGCCAATATTGGATTCTATGTAAAGGTAACTGGAAGGTAGCATTCTAGTCCATTTTTGATAACCCATTAAACTTGGAATTACTTGAAAAATATCTTATTCAGTTTCAGATTTTATTCTGTGTTTAGGAGAAATTTAAATCCTACTTAGTTAAAAGTATCAAGATGCAATTATTGCTAACATTGTAGTATTAAAGACATTTGTTTCTAACTGTGGAAAAATTTTAAAGTAACACATCTGTACATATATTGCATCTAAAACACAGGGGAGTTATTTTTTCATTAAATGTAAAATAGTACATGTGATAGAATTCTGATATGCAGTTCTTAAAGAGTTCTAGTATCTTTTTTCTTTTGAGAAGACATTATGCCCCTTGTAGAGGCTACAATGGTAACACAAAGTTAATGTCTTTAATTATACAAACTCACTGCTGAGTTGAAATATTAATTTATGATCATATTTCAGATGTTTCTTTAATCTCTAATCATTTTTGTAATAAGTGTCACCTAAGATGCTTTTCTTGGAACTAACTTGAAAAGTAGTTGCATCTTGCTGAACACACTTATTTTTCGTTTTGTGAAAATTCCTTTTACATGCTGTGTACTTTCTTTCAGATATATCTATTGTGATGAAATTGACTTGGCTGCTGACACAGTGCTGGCTACTCTTTATGCTGCCAAAAAGTACATTGTCCCTCACCTCGCTAGAGCCTGTGTTAATTTCCTGGAGACCAGCTTGAGTGCCAAGAACGCCTGTGTGCTCCTCTCCCAGAGCTGCCTGTTTGAGGAGCCAGACCTGACCCAGCGTTGCTGGGAGGTGATCGATGCCCAGGCTGAGTTAGCTCTCAAGTCTGAGGGATTCTGCGATATCGACTTCCAGACACTAGAAAGTATCCTCCGCAGGGAAACTCTGAATGCCAAAGAAATTGTGGTTTTTGAGGCAGCTCTCAACTGGGCTGAAGTAGAATGCCAGCGACAAGATTTAGCTCTGAGCATTGAAAATAAACGCAAGGTCCTCGGAAAGGCACTTTACTTGATCCGCATACCTACAATGGCCCTGGATGATTTTGCAAATGGTGCTGCACAGTCCGGAGTTCTAACTCTCAATGAGACCAACGACATCTTCCTCTGGTACACTGCGGCCAAAAAGCCTGAGCTGCAGTTTGTGAGTAAAGCCCGCAAGGGCCTTGTCCCCCAGCGCTGTCACCGTTTCCAGTCGTGTGCCTATCGGAGCAACCAGTGGCGCTATCGGGGCCGCTGTGACAGCATCCAGTTTGCAGTGGATAAAAGAGTGTTCATTGCTGGCTTTGGGCTGTATGGCTCCAGCTGTGGCTCTGCGGAGTACAGTGCCAAGATTGAACTCAAGCGGCAGGGCGTTGTCCTGGGGCAGAACTTGAGCAAATACTTCTCAGATGGTTCCAGCAATACCTTTCCTGTGTGGTTTGAGTACCCAGTGCAGATTGAGCCAGATACCTTCTACACAGCCAGCGTGATCCTGGACGGCAATGAACTCAGTTACTTTGGACAGGAAGGCATGACAGAGGTTCAGTGTGGCAAAGTGACCGTCCAGTTTCAGTGCTCCTCAGATAGCACCAATGGCACTGGGGTACAGGGAGGGCAGATCCCTGAACTTATATTCTATGCTTGAAAACATTTCCTGAAGCAGTGTGAGCTCTCAGATGCACATCTGGTTCCTACTTGCTTGATGCTTAGCTCATCTGCAGATATGTGATCAGCGCAGGTAATTTGTAATGAACGAAGCTGTAGGCAGTTTCTAATTTCTTTCAACCTTTTAATTATGTACAGGCAAAAACGCAGCATTCCGCTTTTAACTATATGCTTAAAAGAGCCAATTTCTTATTAGGGCTTTGTGGTTTTTAGAATTGCGTCTATCTATACAGCTGGGGAGGATTTGTGTTCTTTTCCAACTGCCCCATTGACTTCTCAGTTTTGTCCCTCTTAAGAAAATTTTTGGATCACCTCAAATTTCTTTTAGGGCTTTATTTTGACAAATAGAAATAAATAATTTAAAAGAATAATGACGAGTTATTTTTAAACAGAACCTTCCCTCCCCCCCCAAAAAAATAACAGATAAATCTCAGTGTACAATTTTGAAAGAAGTTTTGCTTCATAATAAGTAATAATTTAGAAAGTAGGCAGTAGTCATATTTAGCTCTTATTTCCTTTTAAATATTTTCTTCTGGGCATTGCTTTTTCTTAAATCCTCAATTCATAAGATTGTTAAATATCGAACACTGCAAAGTATCAGTGTAAAACGGGAAAATAAGAAATTGGATGTTGGTTTAGGCCATGACTTCTGCTATAAGCAGATTTATATTTTAGTTTAGGAGACAAAATATTACAGTACAGACACTTCTTTTAGAAGTAACTAAATTTAAAAATTTTATTGTCATTAGAAAAAAGTTTAGGCCTATTATTCAAACTAAAACAATTTTAAAAAGAAAACTGAAAAAAGTCCTATACTACAAATGGGTTAATTGATGGCACAATAGAATGCACAGTTTGAAAAAGCCCAAGTCTTTTTCTCCTCACTTAGCTTCTGATCCCCACCATTTGGTTGTTTTCATTAGTCATGTTGTATAGAATTTCTATGCCCTTTTTCCTATGAAAAGAGGACCAAACAGTTCTTTAGATGAATGGAAAAATAGTTTTTTAGCACTACATGTTAATGTAATATACTTTTATTCATTGATTTCTTTTTTAATCTGAAAAATACTTTACCTGTTCTACCTTGATCACATACTATTTTCTTAGTTATTTATAATTCTTTTTCCTGGGCTGCTAGAATCTGGCCTCTGGCTATCTTAAAGTGCCAACATATGCCTGCAGGGTTTTTTAAAAAATGATCTGAAGTGATATACACCTCATTATACCTAATATTTATTGCATCAGCACATCCAGCTCTCTTATTAATTTGTCCATGGATAATATAAACAAAGGAGGGAAAAGCTCATCAAAAAATTCTCCTTCACTGATGGCTGGTGATGGTTTAGTGCCTGTGACCCTGGTAGTGTCGAGTGTGTTCACTTCCAGTTGAAGTATCCATGTGTTTCTGGGCAGCTTTTCTGCTCAGTGTGATCCTGAGATGGCTTTCCTTGCCACCCAGAGTGTGGTCCCTGGCCGCCTCCTTCTCCTGCTCTGCAAGCCTGAAGCTGGCTTGTCTGGAGCCAGGGGTTAGTCCTGGGGTGGGTGTGTGTATGTGGGCACCCATGTGCACACAGGTGTGTTTGCCGACTCAGGAATTGTCTCCTCCCTGCCTGGCCAGTGAGATGTGGGACAGAAATGTATCCCCTACTGGCCCCAGTAAGGCCCCATGAGTGACTGCCCTTAATCATGTTCGCTGTGCTTCTGGGCCACTTCTTCCCTGGAGACAAGGGCTTGTTGCTTTTGGCTGGCTTCCTTGATAGAGGAGAACACTGGATTATGGGAAATGTTTTAATCATCTTTGCCATTACCTATGTCTGTTAGCATAGATGATCAAAAGCTGTTACTGGTGATTATAAATGACTACTCCCAGGACAACTTTCCAAAATTATCTCACATTTATTTATTAGGGAGATGACAGATAGTAGTTTTGGCAAAGCATCTGTAAAATAAAAATACATTTCAATTTAAAAATTTCAACAAAGGGTTTTGTTTTTAAATTATGGTTAAGCATTTCAGTAATTCATAGCTACCATACAAATTGGTAGACTATATACCTGATTAGAAGGCACTCATTTTTAAGCCAGAGGAGAAGAAACTTTAGCGTGCTTCTGTTAGCCAGCTGCCCTCCATGTGGCCAGGGACCTGCTGGGTGAAAACTGCATGAGATCTTGTGCCCTGGTGTAGAAGAACTCAATTTTATGTTAATTACTATTACTTAAAAAAAAAAAAAAAAAAAGACATCCACCACCTGATTGGCTGGTGCCAAGAGCTGTGGGTTAAATTTGAAATTGTACTTAGAATAAGAAATTTTGGATTTTAAATCCTATTCTCCCTTCTGTATTTTCAACATGGAATAAAGGCTAATGTGCTTGCTTTATTTTCTTTGGTAATCTCAAATTTTATAGCTTTTAAAACTAGAAACTATTGTTCTGACAAGGCAGGTAACTAGTGTATAAACACAACTTTATTAAACAGAATACTCTGTAGATGCTTTTCCCAATGTAGCTGGCAGTCTTTGTCGCCATTCATACTGGAACTAGGCTAGCAGTCCTAATGTTACATTCTTTAAGCATATCTTAATATAGTATTTAAATGACCTAATTTCTATATAATTATTGCACTGAACTGTCTTTTTTGTTCTTTAAGGTGTTGAAATAAGTCCAGCTAATTCAAGACACTAGCCACTTGTGCATCAGAGTGCTTGAATTTAGTAGCTTACAGCATTATTTATGAAGGAAAAATATATAAATATGAAGTACCTCATGTTGAATGTTATTGTACTGTATTTTTAATGTAACAGTGCAGATCTTGTTAGACACATGAATGTGTATAATCATGTTAAATGCCAATAAAAAGAGAATTGATTCATAGATTTGTTTTCCTTAGCATTTTCCGTAGGTCCTTGAAATAGTAAGAAACTCATTCTGGCACTTTTGGTGCCACACATTTTAGAGATGGTTTTGCAGGAGCATTTGTTTGCTAAGTATTCAGATATCTCTGATCCCTAAAGAAATAAAAATTTGAGGCAGAAGCATAAGAGAACAATGAATATGTTAATCAATTGCATTGTTCAAAACCCGACTGTTAAGTTAATGAGAGGGAATGAATAGATGCATTGATATTCCCTTTATGGAATTTGTAATTGGCTGGCATTCTGATGCTATAGTTTCTCAAATGTCTGAATCTGGCTATACTAAGGCGAGGTAATAGTGAATCACTTCTAGCTTTAGATGTAACCAGAGCTGCTTGTTCCTGCTGGGTTATAATAGTTTAAGTCTAGGAATAAAAAATAAATGTCATATGAGGATTTTCAGTATAATCGTTAATGTGCTCAACTAGTTTCCCATTATATTTCCCTATATCAAGTACATATATATACACACATTTATACACGATATATACACAGAAACATGTATTTCTCTGCAGCTCTCTGTTGCTTTTGTGGTAGAGTTTATTATTCAATCCTGTATAAATGCTTAACCATTTCATCTACTCAGGATTTATTTTATAGTATATTTCAAAAGATTTTTGGAATTTTTCCAAAGAGTAAGGCAACTGGAGGTTCACATTCTCATCAGCTTAATTACAGATACAACCCAAATTGCAAAAATCTTTAATCCAGGAAAGTCTTAGCCATTCTTTCTTTATAGTTGCTGTTTAAATTAAATCCACATATATTTGTTTTCAAAATCCCAAGACAATTGGAAATTCTCTTTCTCTTTTTTTGGCACTTAGGGTCAACCTGTCATTGAAATAACACTTTCTTCCCAGTTGACTCTATGGCTAACCTACAAAAGCTGTGGACTTAAACTTGGGGAAAAAATCAAAGGTGGAAAGGTATTCCTGGGGAACTAAACAGTTAAGAAACCCAAAGGCTGAAACAAGCAAGTAGCCCTGAAGTCCTATGGTTGTGAGTGTCTGTTAGAGTAGGCCCTTGTCTGCCTTTGAAATGCTTCAGTAGAAGATGACTACACTTTTGATTTCTAATTAATACACTTCAACATTTTTCGGAGTCATTTATATTTATTGACCTTTGCTCAACACTTCTTTTTTAGAATATATTTTTTCACAAAACTAAAACGGGCAAACTTTCAAAAATCGAATTTTCTCATTTAACCGTAACCAACATAAGCAAAACAACTTTTTACAACCAAGACATTGTCAGGTCAATGAGATGAAAATATTTGTGAGGAAGAGATAAATATAATGGTTGACCCTGTCATATACCAAGCAGTCAATGTAAGTCACTAGCAACTGCAGACCCATCTCTGAAGAATCTTTGGGCACATTTTCCCAACTTGGGCATGTCATCTCTATTGTATCTTCTGAACCTTTTTTTTGAGAGAGGGCGGTGGGGACGGTGTAATTCTATTTATGCAGACCTTAGCTATACTTAGAACCATCATTTTCTATTTGCCTGTTTACCTGAATGTCCATTGGCCAACAATTTCACTAGGAGATGATGACATTTCATATTCTGAGATCTAAAAAATTCCTAACCTCAAGATACATACTTCAACAAAACACCCACTCTTGACTTTGTCAAATCTGTACTTGAATCTGTGTACAGGATGTAATTAAAGTTACCTATTAGACTACTAGTACTTAAACATTAGTTTATTCCTACTGCCTTCTCCTTAAGCTGTTCTTGTTCTTGGTAATAACCAGCCTAAGTGATAACGGAGGAAAGTGTGTGTTAGACCTCCAAGGATGATGTCCTTTTTTACTTCAGAATTAAGGCATACTTGTTTTTTATTTTTATGACTTTGGTGACTAGTTTTACAGACTATCTCTTATATTAGTTTGTTTTAGAGGAGTGAAATACCTGAAGAAAAATTTAAATAGGCCATACTAGTGGCCTGGTTAATTTTAACTTGAAGTGCTGCAAAAAAATTTTATGAGCAGCATATAGCATAAAGACTTACGTGAAAAACCAGGAAAGTCTATGAGATAATATTTTGATATGTAGCAGTCTTTACTGTGGCTATACAATTTGCATTTTCCTCCATAAACTGCTATATTCAAAATATAGTCAAAAGAAAATGACTATTTTAAAGAAACTAAATAATCTTTCAAAGCCTGAAGCAAAGGTATCACTTTTTTCTGTATAGTAGAATACATAAAAATGTACTTTCGAGAGACATTCTGTGTATCTTACGGAATGTTCATATTTGTGCTTGTCTTATAAATATATCTAAACTTTATTCCAGCATTCCTTGTAATAGCACTGAAACAAACAGTATACCTGCGTCTTAACCAATTCAAAATAAAAATTCCAGTTCTGAGAATATTTGGAGGCATTAATAAGCTAAAGAATAATGTTTTTTGAATAATTTAGCTCCGCAGAAAGGGAAAAAAAAAAAAGTGGTCTACTGAATCATTCAAAGGCTTAACCTAATGTTTATTCATTGATCACTTATTGATCTTTGCTTCATCCAGGTCATAAGAGACATGCTCCAGGGAGTCAGACCAATAAGACATGGTGTGCGCTTCCAGAAGCTTTGGGTTCAGTGCAGTGCTGCTCTGCTTTTAGCATACAGGATTATGGATTTCTAGCCTCCACTCCCAGAAATTCTGATTTGGTAGGTCTTGGATGATGCCTGAGAAATTATCTACCATATGAGCTTCCACGTGATGCTGATGCTGCCATCCACAGATTGTACTTTGAGTAGCGCCGATCTGAGCGGTGTGTAGGGGAGGAGCCTGTACAGAAATAGGTCAGTATTGCTAAGGGATAATAAGAAATGCCTTGGCTACTATAGGAGCTCGGATAAGGGGCTTCTAGATCAGTCTTGGGGTGGAAGTCTTAAGCTGGGTTTTGAAGGATGCATTGGAATTATTGAGTGAAGATTGGTAATGCAAGTTGGAGGGAGGGGGCAGGGATGAAGGGAGTTCCAGAGGAGAGAGCAGTGGAGATAGAATGGCAAACAGCTTGATATGGCTCAAATAAAGGGTAAATGTGGAAGAACAAGGCCATCTACTGTGTGCCAGGTATGGAGTGAGATAATGAACTGGACAGGAACATGAAGTGCTTCATCTGTTAGGCTAAATTATCTGGCTTTTATCCATAGAATAAAACAGTGACATTAAAGAGATTTAAGACAGACAAGACAACAGTTTCATGTATTCGAATTATCTTTCCAAACTCTGAGAAGGATAGACTAGATCAGACTAGAGGCAGGAGGGGAGAGGTTAGGGCTGTGAGTAATGCAAACAAAGACCAAAGGGACCAGGGAATGGAGAATGATTCTAGAAACAAGGAGGAGAGATACCCAGGGTGCAATGGCTGTAGCATCCAGTTAAAAGGGGGCTTGCTAAAGTTGGAATGAAGCCTCTTGCCTTACATTTATCCTTATAGAGAGGGAAAGAAACAGTTTTTACTCTACATTTCTCTATAGATGATTATTGGTTTAGAGGTATCCACCCTTGACTCCAAGATTCTTTTAGGAAGAAGGAAAAGTGAGAGTTGACATAGTGTACTGGTTAATAACAGACTCTGGAGCAAGACTGCTCTTTGAAGCTCAGCGTAGCTATAGTGACTTCAGGCAAGTTACTTAATCTCTGAGCCTCAGTTCCCTCAAGAAAGCAGTAATAACTGCCTTCTTCACAGGGCTATTATGACAATTCAATGAATTAATATTTCTAAAGCACTCGTCTCAGTACCTGACAAACAGGAAGTGTCATATAAGTGTTGATTAAATGAAACAAAATATGAAAGGCCACAAATTAAATGCACTTTCCTCATATCTGTCCTCATGGAAAACCAGTTTACTTTTAGTTTACACATACTTTTAACAAGTTGTTCATGCGGACAATTAAAGAGGCGTTTTGTTGCTATTTTAAATCACTATGGTTGATAGCTAGGGAGTATATAAAGCTACTAAGAGCTGTATTGTTGAGAAATTCTCATATTTTAAACAAATTTCTAGGAAGTACTTCAATGCTGTCATGTTAATGAGAGACAAATGATGTAAATGGAGTCTAGCATATCAGTGCCTTCTATGCCAGGAAATTAATCTAGAACAGGGGTCCCCAATGTCTGGGCCACTGACTAATACCTGTCTGTGGCCCATTAGGAACTGGGCCGCATAGCAGGAGGTGAACAGCAGCAAGCCATAGAGCGAAGCTTCATCTTCATTAGCATTTGCAGCCTCTCCCCAGCGCTAGCTAGCATCACTGCCTCAGCTCCACCTCAGATCATCAGGCTTTAGATTCTCATAGGAGCACGGGTCCCTAGTGCCAAAAAAGATGGCGACTACCGATCTAGAATTCCTTAGAAAATTACTCTGTAAAAGCTGACCAAGAAAGCACCTAAGTGTTTGAGAGACATTTTGAAGACATTTTCTAAGAAGAGTCTACTAGTTCTGCTGGAGTCAAAATAAACTTTTTCCCAGCCTATGGTCTTGGACTATTTTGAATATAACCCTCTCTCCAAAATATTTAGAGTTTAAAATCAGTTTGGGAATGAAAAGTAAGTTTGACCTTTATTACAAGTGATTTGATTATTACAGAAAATATTTGAATAGCTAATTTTTTTTATTCAGGAAAACACAGGTGTGCCAAAAGTGTGGCAACTCTGTGAGTTCGTGTGCCCCCACTCTTTTTGGCACTTCACCTCCCCTCAACTGTCCTCCATCTGCAGACCTACCTTATCCTGAGGTCCTGAGCCAGTGCTGGGGCCTCCTTTGAGGAGGGCCCTGATTTCCTGGAAGTTAATTTCTATTTTGCAAAATAAGCTTTCAGAAGCCTTGCCCCCCATAGATTCTCATTCAGGGACCTGTCGCCTTCACAGGTGACAAATAACACATAACAAAGCTCAAATAACACATAACAAACACATAAATATCAGTAGTACACAGCAGTACATTTA